AGGGTACAGTGTGGGGATGGAGGAACACAGCAGGATACAGTGTGGAGCTGGAGGAACACGGTAGGAACACAAAGTCCTGATGAAAGGTGTAAACCCAAAACATCGACTTTCCTGCTCCTCTGATGCTGCCCTACCCCAGGACATTACCCGAGTCTCTCGGTTGACAGTCTAGCAGTAATACCACTAAGCCATCACCTCCCCACTTGAACCCAGGTGTCCTGGTTCAACGGCAGGGACACTACCACTGCATCACAACAGCCCCTCAGGTATTTTCTTTAATTAATGGACTTAAATTTCATGATGTAGAAGACCTGGTGTTGGACTGAGGTGGACAAAGTCAGAGGACACACAGCGGCAGGTTACAGTGCAACAGATTTATTTGAAATCACTAGCTTTCAAAGCACTGCTCCTTCGTCAGGTAAAGTCATTTCAAAACCTTATGATTTCAAATAAACCTGTTGGACTATAACCTGGTGTCATGTGCCTACCGACTTAAATGTCATAGTGTGCAGTGGTTGGATCTGAGCCCATGTTCCCAGAGCATTCATCCGGGCCCTAAATCTGAAGAAGAGTCGTACCAGACTCGAAAAATTAACTCTGTTTCTCTCTCCACAGATGCTGTCAGACCTGCTGAGTTTCTCTAGCACTTTCTGTTTTTATTTCAGATTTCCAGCACTGGCTGCATTTCTTTTTTACTTCCATGGAAATAAAGGGTACTCCAAGAAAGTACAATGATTCCAATGAGAGTTGGAGGGAGTTGCCTTTTATTTTGATCAGAGAGGGACGAATACAAACTGTTTGGAGAAACTCTAGCCCAAGGCCCAAAGCTAATTGTTGTCACTGTTTCTTTATGCAGTGAGAAGGATCTTCCCAAGAAGATTGAGAGACTGCGAGAAGTTTGCGCTAAGCTACCTCCAGAATCCTACAATAATTTACGGTAATGTCAAATGCAAGGATTATAAGGGGGGGGAGCAGAAGGGGAGAGGTAGGATTCTGATGGCTGAGTAAACCTCCTGCTGGTACTTAGTGTGCTAGGTCCCTGGGCAAAACCTCAGCTTGTGCATAAAGTGTGCAACGACAACAACTTGCATTTATAAAGCAGCTTTAATTTTTAAAAGTCTTTTAAGGGATATGGTGGGCCCAGGATTTATTGCCTGTCTCTCATTGCAGCTCCCCACCCAGTCCAGAAGCTGTGGTGGTGAGCTGCTTTCTTCAACCACTGCAGTTGTTTTAATGTGATGTGATTTTTAAGAGTGTGGGGATGGCCTAGCGGTATTACCGCTGGACTGTTAATCCTGGCAACCAGGTAATGTTCAGGGGACCTGGGTTTGAATCCTGCCACATTAGATGGTAGAATTTGAATTCAATTTTAAAAATGTCTGAGCCTAAAGGTGACCATGAACCCTTTGTCAATTGTCAGGAAAAACCCATCTGGTTCACTAATGCCTTTTAGGGAAGGAAACTGCCATCCTTACCTGGTCTGGTCCACATGTGACTCCAGACCCACAGCAATGTGGTTGACTCTTAACTGCCCTCTGGGCAATTAGGGATGGGCAATAAATGCTGCCTAGCCAGCGACGCCCCCATCCCATGAATGAATAAAAAGAACAAAAAACCATGCAGAATGTTGTTATGGAGGGAATTCCAGGATTTTGACCCGGCGACACTGAAGAAACGACGACATATTTCCAAGTCAGGATGGTGAGGGGCTTGGAGGGGAACTTGCAGGGGGTGGTGTTCCCATGCATCTGCTGCCCTTGTCCTTGTGGATAAGAAGATAAAATTGCCATAGTCTTACCAAACCATAGGGCTGCTCCCACATTACAGAGAGACACACAACTGGTGGGGGTTTATCCTGAGGGTCACCACACCTCAGTGAGGGGAAGAGGTTGAGAAGGAGGGTGGGTGCAGGAATTGAGCCCGAGCTGTTGGCATTACATCGCAAAGCAGCCATCCAGCCAATGGAGCTAACCAAGCTGCAATTAGATGGCAGCGGCTGTGGGTTTGGAATGTACTGTTCAAAAGTGCCCTGATAAATTTATTTGACAAAATATCCCAAGGTGTTTCTGCAAGGGTTATTTTTGACAAGGTCTTAAAAAGCTTGGACAAACAAACCAGGCTTTGAGGAGAATCGTAAGGCAGGGATCAGATTATATTAATAGTGAGATAACCCCAGAATTCCAGCAGACGCCTTCCCTTGATGTTGGAGGCTGTGCACAGGAGAGTCACTTGTCTATTCCTCTCCCCATGGAGAACTCCAGTCTAATGCTCAGACTCCTTCTCACTTTCCAATAATTTTCTGTAAGTGTTTGTCAAAACATCAGCTCTGGGTCGGATGGCGATGCCCAAAGTGGTTAAAATTGCTGACAGCACTCACCAACAATGTTCACACGCACAAAATAGCCGACTGCTGGCCCGATGTGCCGGGAGAACTTTGACCTGAGGTAAAAGACGATAAATCTTTCGTTCCTCTTTCTTAAACCAGGTACCTTATCAAGTTCTTGGCGAAGTTAGCGGAACATCAGGAAGTGAACAAAATGAGTCCAAGTAACATTGCCATCGTGCTGGGTCCAAACCTCCTCTGGCCCAGGGATGAAAGGTAGGTTAGAGGTCAGGTGAAAGGTCACTAAATGTCATGTTATCTGTTTGCGCCTTTGGCCGGCTTTGGCAGTCAGCTCGACAACATCATTGTAATGATTGGAACGAGGGCCGGGTGGATCTCATTGACTACGATATCCTTGATTGGGGTCATTAATTTGAGCCAATCAGGGATCCCTGGCTGACAGATATAAACAGTAGATTCAGATGGTCTCCTCATTCTAGGAACTCGCCCTAAGCTGGGTGGTCAGAGCCCATGTACTGTGCCTATGTAAATAAAGGGCGTATTGGTGACATGACATGACATGACATGATATGAGCCTCTGTGCAGTTGCTTCAGTTTCCTTCAATAGAGAGGTGGCCATTTTGTCTTCCTACCTCAGGCCTGTGATCGGAATGTTGATCCTACTGAAATTGGAAATACGTTCTTCCAGATGTTTCTGCCTCTTTTCAAAATTAATTTGGAGATTTGTTTTATTCCAGGGAATGTACTCTCAAACCTGAATGGAAAGGTACAAATTGACAGCACAATCTTCCAAGTTTCAGGCTATAACAAGGTTACCGTCCATGTATAAGGGGCCACTCATTTAAGACAGAGATGAGGAAAATTTGATGGGACTCTTCCTGAAAAGACAGTGGGAGCAGAGTCCTTGAGTACTTTTAAGCCAGAGATAGATAGGTTCTTGAGAAGCAAGGGGCTGAAAGGTTATTGGCTTATCCCGCCCATGTTTGCTGTGAAGGAACCAATCAGCAACGAATGTGGAAATGAAGCAGTCTGTGGTCGGAAGAGCAATGAGCTGTTAGAGAGATCATTGAAGAGGTCACCGGGGGCTGGGGTCCAGGAACCGAGAGCTCCCTGTGAGGGGAGAGGTCTGGGAGCAGGGGTTCCCAAAACCGGGGAAGGTGTGGGGATGATGGGAGTCAGCTGACATTGGCTGGGATACAAGGTCTTTTGCCAAGGCCAGAAGGGCTCGTTATTCAAACTGGGTGTTGTGTCTGCTGGGAGGGAGTCGTCAGCCAGAGGATGGCAAGTGTGAGAAGAGCTGGGGGTCTCCAAGAAGGGTGAGGTGTGGCCAAAGAGACTGTGAGAGGTGTGAGATGGGTAGAAGGAAGCTCAAGAGTGATATGGGAGTGGGGAGAAGACACTGTAAGAGGTGTACGAAAGTAGAAAGAGTCTGCAAGGAGGTGTGTGTTGGGGGTTGGGGGGAGACAGAGGTTGCAAGCATGAGAGGGAATGGAAGGCTGCGACAGAGAGAAACCAACTTCAAACCTGTCAATACTTGATAAACTGGGATTCCAGGAAATTTCAAATCACTGAGGTAATGAATTTCTTGCTGATTAATGTGGAATATCTAGTTTAGGTCTACATTTGTTCAGGCACAACCAGAATGGAAAATACGCAGTGGATTGTACTGGAAAGAATACTGTCAGTTATTAAGGATAATCTGAGATTGAGATCCAGCATGCAGGAAATAGTGTTGTAACTTCCTGCTTAATAGCCTATAGCTTTATGCATGTGGCTATTTGTCCAACTGTTCTTCTCTCTCTTTGGGCTCTATCCCCAACTCTGGTTTACTCCTTACCACCTCCCCCAATCCTATCCTCTGCATTTAAAGCGACATTTTCCTAGCTACCATCAGTTCTGAGGAAGGATCACCGGACCCGAAACGTTAACTCTGATTTCTCTCCACAGACGCTGCCAGAGCTTTTCCAGCAATTTCTGTTTTTGTTCCTGATTTCCAGCATCTGCAGTTCTTTCAGTTTTCCTTTACAGCATCCTGCGTTGTGTTCTGACTTGTGTACAAATCGAACTGTGAATGGAATCTGTTTGCAACCGGGATACTGACCATACGCGACGGTGTCCCCTAACAAATAAGTTAGTGACAATGAAAGAAAAAAGCCCCCAAAAATAAATGAAATAACCTCAAGAGGGAAAGAAAAGTTATTGTGACCCATGGTAGGCAGGAATGTGATGTAGTCAGACTCGCCATGATCTTTCTGAACCTGAGGCCAGAAGTTACTCACCCTCCTGGTTAGTGTGTTCATACCCCATGCCAGGCCGCCCTGTTTCAGCGACTGATCGATAATGCCCCTGACTGTGCCCTTGTTTCAGCTTCCTGCAACGGTAGGTTGTGACCCAGTGAGGAGATGCAATGGCCTAGTAGTATTATTGCTAGGCTATTAATCCAGAAACCCAGGTTCAAATCCTGCCATGGCAGATGATGGATTTTGAATTCAGTTTTTAAAACCTAAAGTCTCTAATTAAGAGTCTACTCATAACCCCAATTGTTGGAAAAACCCATCTAGTTTACGAATGTCATTTTTTTTCTCTTTATTCATTAACGGGATGAGGGCATTGCTGGCTGGGCAGCATTTATTGCCTTTCTGGGACATGCGTTCCCTTGGTCCAATCTGAACCCAGACTCAACCACATTGCTGTGTATCTGGAGTCACATGTAGGTCAGACCAGGTAAGGATGGCAGTTTTCTTCCCTAAAGGGCATTAGTGAACCAGATGGGTTTTTCCGACAATCAACAATGGATTCATGGTCATCATTAGATTCTTAATTCCAGATATTTATTGAATTCAAATTCCACCATCTGCTGTGGTGGGATTCGAACCTGGGTCTTAACAGTCCAGTGATAATACCACTAGGTCATGCTTTAGGGAAGGAAACTGCCATCTTTACCTGGTCTGGCCTACATGTGACTCCAGACCCACAGCAATGTGGTTGACTCTTAACTACCTCCTGGGCAATTAGGAATGGGCAATAAACGCTGGCCTGGCCTTTATCAGTTTAATCATTGACAGGATGTGGGTGTCAGCCTAGTTGGTGATGCCCACATCAGATGAATGGATACATTTTTTAAAAAACAAAATATACATGTCTCCCACAGCTCAGTACTCGCTCTCTTTGAATCTGATCCAGAATTTCTTGGGATTGCGATTCACCTGGGAGAATTGGGAATGGGATCCAGGATGAAACTCCCACTGGGGGACCTGGGTCAGTGAGACGTCATCACTCACGAGAGAGGTCAAACCACTGGCCTTTCTTGGATCCAGTGGCACTGATCTGAAGAAGAACTGGGGAGAAATTACTTGTATCCCGAGCCAACGATTTCCCCTCAACCAGTAACTGCTTTCAAGCAAAAACAGATCGCCTGGGTCATTGCCAGCTAACTGGTTATGGGATCTTGCTGTGCATAGGCTAGCTGCCACACACTGTGACAGTTGGGCTGCCCTCAGAGGTGCGCGTCCTTCCTTAATGAGGAAGCGGCCAAGCTTCTGTTTAAGATGAAGGTGCGAGCTATTCTGTGCAGGAGGACGGGATTGCGCACGTGAAATCTTTTAGAGTCCAAGAGAAGAAAAACGACCCTCGGCCTTCTTGTCTTGCTGCAGGAAAGTATCGCTGATGGACATGGCGTCAGCCTCTTCCGTCCAAGTTGTCACAGTCATGGAGCCCATCATCCAGAACGCGCACAGCATCTTCCCAGAAGGTAAAGGCTCTCGCTGCTCACCTCCATGAGATTCCCTCAGGATCTATCTCCACGCATCCCCCGTCCCCCCACCCTCACGCCCCTCTGCACCAGCGCCCCTTTCCGAAATGAATGCCTTTTAGTTCGAAAGGAATGTGAAGGCCAGGGGAATTAGCCATGTAAATGCGGGGCGTTGGGGATGGGGTGGGATGCTCTTTGGAGGGTCAGTGAGGACTCGACGGGCCAAACGTCCTCTACCTGCACTGTAGGGACTCTATGACTCTGTGGAATGAAGTATACGGTGAGGAGGTTTTGCTAAGTTCTTGGCGCAGTCGGGCCAGAGGAGGATTACTGCAAACAGGTTTGGACCAATTACCCAAGGAAACAGAGGCTGCATTGGGGGCAGTCCAGAGTAGGTTCACTCGGCTGATATCAGATATGGAGGGACTGTCTTATTGAAGAGAGGCTGGTTAGATTGGGCCTGTACTCATTAGAGTTTAGAAGAATGAGCGATGCCCTTATTGAAATACATGGGGCAGCACAGTGGCTCAGTGGTTAGCACTGCTGCCTCAAAGCGCCAGGGTCCTGGGTTCGATTCCACCCTCAGATGACTGTCTGTGTGGAGTTTGCACATTCTACCCGTGTCTGTATGGGTTTGCTCTGGTTTCCTCCCATAGTCCAAAGATGTGCAGGCTAGGTGGATTGGTTGTGCTAGATTGCCCAAAATGTTCAGGGATATGTAGATTAGGGGGATGGCTCTGGGTGGGATGCTCTGAGGGGTGGTGTGGACTTGTTGGGCCAAAGGGCCTGTTTTCACACTGTAGGCTATCTGTGATGTAAGATTCCTTAATGGCTTGACAGGGTAGATGTGGAGAGGATGGTTCCCCTTGTGAGACAGACTAGGACCAGAGTGCACCATCTCAGAATAAGGAATCTCATATTTAAGGCAGAAACAAGGAGGAATATCTTCTCTCGGTAGTGAATCTGTGCAATTCTTTACCACAGAGGGCTGTGGAGACTGGGTCATTAAGTATATCCAAGGCTGGGATAGACAGATTTTTAATCAGCAAGGGAATCGAGGGTCATGGGGAAAAGGCAAGAAAATGGAACTGAAGATTTTCAGATCAGCCACAATCTCATTGAAAGAGCCAAATGACCTATTTACCTTATGGTCTTATTGGCACAGGTACCCAGGCACCAATCACCTGGGGGTCTCCAGGGAATGACAGTTGAGTATTCAGAAAGCAGCTGGCTTTCCCACTGGCCATGGAGACTGTGAGATGGACCAATAACAGAATTATAGGAGAGCTGCATTTACTCATTATCTAACCCCATGCTGTCCCTGTCCTGGGAATGTCTGATGGAGACAGTGTAGAGGCAGCTTTACTCTGTATCTAACCCCATGCTGTCCCTGTCCTGGGAGTGTTTAATGGGGGACAGTGTAGAGTGAGCTTTACTCTGTATCTAACACTGTGCTGTCCCTGTCCTGGGAGTGTTTAATGGGGACAGTGTAGAGGATGCTTTACTCTATCTAATCCCGTGCTGTCCCTGAGCTGGGGAGTGTTTGATGGGGGGCAGTGTAGACGGAGCTGTCCCTGTCCTGGGGAGTGTTTGATGGGGGAACAGTGTAGTGAACCCCTCCACAGGTACTGCCGTGGATTGTAAAGCTCCTTCCCCAGCCTCTCTGGATTTGTGTTCCCCTGGTCCAGTCTGAACCCAAATTCCCATTTTAATGCAGTGATTGAGAATGGTGTGTAATTCTGTGAGACAGTGCCACCTGCTGACTGCTCTCAAACAGATATCACTGACAGTCACAGGGAGGGGAACGGGGGGATTTGAGTTTGCTGATGACAAGACTGGGTGATAATTCTGTCGCATTGCCTCACTCACTCACCATGGAATCTGAAGGAAGTAGAAACAGGTCTTTCCTATTCTGGGCAACTGATGTACTCAAACAGATTGGTGTCCTCACCCTGAACACAGTCCAAGGCTGTCAGGCAAGCACTTCACACCTGATGTTCTCCTATTTCCCTGTACCACTCCCGAAGAAATGAGTGTCAGTGTTTACCGAGGATCTGCAGCAGCTTGTCACTATTTACACAATGTGTACTACCCTGTGATGAGGTGGCTCTGGGAGTCTGTCGCTGCTTATAGCGAGCTCCCAGTGGTATGTCAGTATTTAATGGGAATCCCCAGAGAACATGTTAATAATAGCAGTATGTGTCAATATTTACAGGGGGTCCCCGGGGGGAGTGTGTCAGTATTTACAGGGGGGTCCCCGGGGCGAGTGTGTCAGTATTTACAGGGGGTCCCCGAGGTGGGGAGTGTGTCAGTATTTACAGGGGGTCCGGTGCGGGGACAGGGTGTGTATTGTGTCAGTATTTCCTGAAGAGTTCCTGTGTGTCTGACTGTTTACAAAGGTATTGCTAACACAGTTAATGGTGCAATCCATTGGGATGAGGTAGACTGCTCGACATTGAGTGAGTGTTAGCTCTGGTCTCCAGTAATTGTTGACATTGTGATTGTTCTGTCACAGACTTAGATTTCAGCGTGTCTGGAAAGTTTGGGCCGAATTTCCAGTCCTCCACCTGTGCATCACCAAAACCAGAGAACACCTCGACAGAGCAGGCTCAGATCAGCCCTGCCCCTGTTAAAGACATCACAACACAAAGGGAAGAGTAAGTTCATCTGAATTTAACTTGCACATCTCCAGTTTTATGTCTCTCCATCTTCCATGTGTCCATGCCGTTGGCCTCCCACACCCTCAACTCAGGGATTATCTCCTTCAACCTCTCCCCTGCTCTCTGAATTTCAGATATTTCTTTTAATCTGCCTCGTTGTTCAAGCTTTTAGTCACTCACCCTCACACCACCTTCTTATTCATTTATTATGCAAAGCACTTTGAGAAGTTAACGGTGCTATATAAATGCAAGGTGTTGATGTGGTTGACTGTGTGGAGAGAAACTGAACTTTCTTTTTGAAACAGGCACGGATTGACTGAAACAGAGAAACTAAGAGCAGGAGTAGGCCATTCAATATGATAATGGCTGATTATATAACTCATTCCCGTTCCCACTTTCTCTCCCATATCCTCGATTCCTTTAGCCCTAAGAACTATATCTAACTCTCCCTCTTGAAATCGTTCAACAATTTGACCTTAGAAACACAAATTGACGGGAAGACTCAGCAGGTCTGGCAGCATCAATGGAGAGACAAGCAGAGTTAACCTTTTCATACGGAAACAGACCCTTCAGTCCAACTCCAGACATCCCAATCTGACCTAGTCCCATTTGCCAGTATTTGGTCCATATCCCTCTAAACCCTTACTATTCAGGTACCCATCCAGGTGCCTTTTAAATATTGTAATTGTACCAGCCTCCACCACATCCTCTGGCAGCTCGTTCCATACATGCACCACCCTCTGAATGAAAATGTTGCCCCTTAGGTCCCTTTTAAATCATTCATAAGATGGAGTTTGCTGGCTTTCTTCATCCTGTTGATAAAAAGATTGTTACAGAATGCAATATATATCAAGGATTCTAGTGTAAGAGTATTTGTTACATGATCCCTATATCCCTGATTGAATCACTCCACATGCAGTGTACAAAGGCTGCAATAAAATACACTTTTTTTTAATTTGGTTAGAGTTTTGTCTCTTGTTTTAAACTTGTTCCAAAGTGTTCCCAATTGGAGAGTGTTCCTGTCAACCTTTCATTGGGATAAAATTGTCCTTGAGTTGTATTTTGCATATTCATTTCTGCCATTTGGTGGTGTGTTGCCAAATTTAGGCCAGTGAATTAAGAAAATGTCTGGAAGGCACAGAAAGAAAGAAGAATTTACATTGATATAGCACCTTGCCGATGTTCCAGAGCTCTTTACAACTGCATAAATGCTTTTTGAAGTGACTGTTGCAATTGAAGAATTGTGGTGATCACCTCCGCACAGGAAGACTCCACAATCATCCTTTCGATCAGTCTGAATGGGATCTTTCCCAACAGGGTCACAGTTCACCTCCAGCCTGCTTCTTTTCCCCAGGTGTGTGAACGAGGAGAATCCCTCCATTCCACCACCAGTGTCAACTCCCTCCACCTCCAGCAACGAGCCAAGCATAGTGGAGGCAAGTCCAGCAGTGACTGGATCCAGCCTGACTGTCACCACCATCAGCAAGTCACCCAGTCACTCAGGGAAAAAGGGTAGGCCAGAGCGAAATCGGAACAAGGACTTTTCAAAATAATTTGATGTGCGTGAGGTGGGAACGGTGGAGGGATGGGAGATTGCCTTCTTTCTGGATTTGCATCCACTTCTGGAGAAAGCTCCTGCACAAGGTTTGAGGAGTTTGTGTGGCACAACATCAAGGGACAGTGAGCTTTAACTGAGACCTACTCCATGTTTTGGCTGGAATAAAATTGCTTACGTCCTGGGAAGGGGGAGGTCTGCAGGATCTTGGGGCAACTAGAGGGCACAGCAGGGTTATAGAGATGGTTCGAAGCTAAATGGTCTCCAGACATGCAGTACGATTCTGTGAGAGTGTGGATCAGGTTATTTATGACAGTATGTGAGATTGAGTGTGCATGTGTATGAGTGTGAGAGTGAGCGCGGGAGGGTATGAGTGTGAGAGTGAGTGCGGGAATGTATGAGTGTGAGAGCAGAAGTGTACGAGTGTGAGATTGAGTGCGGGAATGTATGAGTGTGAGAGTGAGTGCAGGAATGTATGAGTGTGAAAGTGAGCATGCGTGTGTATGAGTGTGAGAGTGAGCGTGGGAGTGTATGAGTGTGAGTGTGGGAGTGTCTGAGTGTGAGAGTGAGCGCGGGAGGGTATGAGTGTGAGAGCGGAAGTGTATGAGTGTGAGATTGAGTGTGTGTATGAGTGTGTGTATGAGTGTGAGAGTGAGTGTGTGCGTCTATGAGTGTGAGAGTGAGTGTGTGCATGTACGAGTTTGATAGTGAGTGTTTGAGTGTGAGAGTGAGCGTCCGCATGTATGAGTGTGAGAGTGAGCGTGTGTGTGTGTGTGTGTGTATGTGTGTGAGAGTGAGTATGGGAGTGTTAGAGTGAGTTTGTGACTGTATGAATGTGAGAGCGGACAAGGTCAGAAATCACACGACATCAGGTTATGGTCCAACAGGTTTATTTGAAAACACAAGCTTTCGGAGTCTTGATCCCTCTTCGGGTGTTAGTGAGAGAGATATTGGATACAGAATTTATAAGTAAAAGATCAAAGGTTCACACCACTGATGAGGATGTATTAAACAAACTTAAAATGTTGTTCAATCTTTAATCAGTTAGAAGGTTTTAATTGTGTGGGAGTGTATAAGTATGAAAGTGAGTGTGGGAGTGTATTTGAGAGTGAGTGTGGGAGTGTATGTGAGAGTGAGTGAGTGTGTGTGGGAGTGATTCAGTTTGTGTGAGAGTGAGTGGGAGTGATTCAGTTTGTGTGAGAGTGAGTGAGAGTGATTCAGTTTGTGTGAGGGTGTGAGAGTGAGTGAGAGTGATTCAGTTTGTGTGAGGGTGATTCAGTTTGTGTGAGGGTGTGAGAGTGAGTGTGTGTGAGGGTGATTCAGTTTGTGTGAGAGTGTGTGTGAGGGTGATTCAGTTTGTGTGAGTGTGTGTGAGTGAGTGTGTGAGGGTGATTCAGTTTGTGTGAGTGTGTGAGAGTGAGTGTGTGTGAGGGTGATTCAGTTTGTGTGAGTGTGTGAGAGTGAGTGTGTGTGAGGGTGATTCAGTTTGTGTGAGTGTGCGAGAGTGAGTGTGTGTGAGGGTGATTCAGTTTGTGCGAGTGAGTGAGTGTGTGAGAGGGATTCAGTTTGTGTGAGTGTCAGTGAGTGTGTGACAGTGAGTGTGTGTGAGGGTGATTCAGTTTGTGCGAGTGTGTGAGTGAGTGTGTGTGAGAGGGATTCAGTTTTTGTGAGTG